CTCTTCAGCTGCCTCAGCTATAAAAAAGGCAGAGCTCCTACAGTGGAGGCAAGCAACAAGTAATGTGTCTTCTATTCATGCCTTCTCAAACATCGTAAGCTATGAACATAGTCCTGATTCAGGGTACATTCTTAGAAGAAATACTTTCCAGGCCATACAGAAGGCTAAAAGTCGTATGTTTCTTTCATTGTATCTCTTCTATCTGTTTTTATGTATGCTGTATTTCTTGCCTTGCTTCTCCATCACTGAACTTTATTTCTGATCTTACTCCTCGGCTTCCTGGCTGCTTACATTCCAGTTTAGCAAAGGTGCCCTTTTCCAGGGGAAAAAAAAAAAATTGCTTTAATCTTAATTTTACTGTTTTTGAACCCAAACCAGATCTTACTTGTGATATAACCTCTTACCTGCTTTGTTCTATTCTCCTGAGAGACAAGCATTGACAGCCATCTCCTGTGGAGCCTTTGAACATATTCAGGTTAACTTTCACTTCTGCAGGAGAAGAAAGTAAATCTTCAGTTACCGATTTTACGCAAATGTTGTTTGACATGTCTGTTTCTAAAAGGATCTTTGCTATATAGACTTGCTCCCTCTTTGAAAACTTCTAGGACCCGTGCCTGAGTATCCCTCCAGCAGCCCTGTTAAAGGGAGGTTCAGGACAAAAGAAATAGCTGGAAGGCATATTTATTTCCAATACCAGTGAAATCAGTAAGGTATACTGAGCTACTGTGCTGAAAGAATTTCATTTTATGCTCTGTTGTAACAGAAAGCAGTATTCAAAGACGATGCTCAAGACTATAAAAGAGAAAATGAAATACAACTATTTTTTACATATAGTGGTCTACAAAATGAAACAAATTCAGTAAGTGTAGCCATTATTGTTTTCAATTGGTATTATACTTGAGTAAAAAACCTGAAACTGTGCATCAGTCCTATAATAAAAGTAGTATAATGTGCAGAGATATTAAAAAAGTGATTGAGTTATTCAGTATGCTCGTAAAGGTAGGTATTGTGAAACTAATACAATATTACTGCATATTGTGTCATCGAAGAGACTCAAAGCCCTCATGTAAGTCTTTACCTTTGATTTGTCCTTCCAAGCACAGTGTTATGTATCCATGAAAATAACAGAAAAAAGGAATACTGTAAAAAAGTCGATTTCTGAAAAAAGGTTTATTTTCAATTACTGTTTGGGGCATGGAACTTTACTGGTTCCAAGGGTTCTTTACTAGAGTCTTCCAAAATATCATATTCAACTTTGCCACTTAACAAATTCAGGCAGTTAGTTATAATAGAAACAACAAACCTGAGAAACAACATAGTTCTAGATTAAAAGTTTAGGAGTAGCTTCTGTTGATTTCTTTGTGATCTTAGGAAAGTTCCTTTCAGCCTCAGTTTATGCATCTGTGAAATGGGTTTTTACTGTTAATCTCACTAGGATGGCGTTTTATTACTGCTTGTAAAGTGGTTTGATAGTCTCTGCCATATAATACATTCTAAGTGCCAGGGTGTTGCTTTGGGCTAGAAAGTAGAATAAAGACACTTAGTACATACCTCAGTAAAATTTACAACTTATGAAATTCTCTTCTTATGCTGAAAATATTTCCCTTCTTCCTCCCTGCTGTACATACTGTATACAACTGTATACAACACAAAAATGTTTGTGTCTTATTATTCTATCAGGCATTATTTAACTATAAAAAATGGTCTTGTCATCTCACACTTCTTAACAGATTATGAAAGAAAAATGACTAAAACTTGTTCAGACTGTCAAGTTCTTGCCAAACTGAAGCTAGTGAATCACCCTGGCACTGGTAAATAGCCAAAACCAGATGATATGAAGGTTATAAATAGTGTTAGAGACCATGTTGCCAAATACATATATATATACACACACACGCACCCATAAAATTACTGTTGTTATTGTTTTATTTCCATGAAGTTTTTCATTAAATCCTGAACAGCATAGTAGTATGACACTTCTGTTTTTATTTCAATTCTTATTTTAATAATGTAAATATAAATTGAACCTTAGAAGTGTGAATCATGCCTACTGCTTATTGATTTTGATATACACACTAGAGAGAATGAGCCTGGTGTCTGAGAAATAGCTGAAACCGAAACTGGGATTGTATTATTGGTGGTGTGGTTGACACACCAGAGGGACGGGATGCCATCCAGAGGGACCTGGACAAGCTCGAGAAGTGGGCCCATGTGAACCTCATGAGGTTCAACAAGGCCAAGTGCAAGGTCCTGCACCTGGGTCAGGGCAACCCCCAGACTCAATGCAGGCTGGGGGATGAAGGGATTGAGAGCAGCCCTGCTGAGAAGGACTTGGGGGCACTGGTGGATGAAAAGCTGGACATGAGCCAGCAATGTGCGCTCGCAGCCCAGAAGGCCAATCGTATCCTGGGCTGCATCAAAAGCAGCGTGGCCAGCAGGTCGAGGGAGGGGATTCTGCCCCTCTACTCTGCTCTGGTGAGACCCCACCTGGAGTACTGCGTCCAGCTCTGGAGCCCTCAGCATAAGAAAGACATGGACCTGTTGGAGCGGGTCCAGAAGAGGGCCACAAAAATGATCAGGGGGATGGACCACCTCTCCTATGAAGAAAGGCTGAGAGAGTTGGGGTTGTTCAGCCTGGAGAAGAGAAGGCTTCGGGGAGACCTTACTGCAGCCTATCAGTACTTAAAGGGGGCTTATAAAAAAGATGGCGGCAAACTGTTTAGCAGGGCCTGTTGTGACAGGACAAGGGGGAATGGCTTTAAACTAAAGGGGGGTAGATTCAGACTAGGTATAAGGAAGAAATTTTTTACGCTGAGGGTGGTGAAGCACTGGCACAGGTTGCCCAGAGAGGTGGTGGATGCCCCATCCCTGGAACCATTCAAGGTCAGGTTGGACGGGGCTCTGAGCAACCTGATCTAGTTGAAGATGTCCCTGCTCATTGAAGGGGGGTTGGACTAGATGACCTTTAGAGGTCCCTTCCAAGCCAAACTATTCTATGATTCTATGATTATTGTGGGGATTGAATAATTGAATAAAAAGACTGGAGAAGAAACTGTTTAGTTCTAGTGTGTGCTTTCTGCCCAGCGGGGTCCCAGGTATTGCACCACATATACTCTGATCTGAAGTGTGTCCACTTTTATCTCGTTTTTTGGGTTTGTGTTTTGGTTTTTTTTTTAGACTGTGAATGAGCAGCTACTTAGATGTAGTGTCATTAACAAAGAGTAAACTCCATCACTCTTCTGCTATGGGATCCTGTATGCCTAAGTGTGGTAATTTTCTTCTTGCAACTGTCATCTAGGCTAGTCATGTACTATAGTGAATGAAATAAAATGTTACAAAAGCTAATATACCGTGCAAGTCGTCCAGCTAAGAAACTGTTTAAAATATGTCTTATTGTTTACTCCTCACTGAATATGTATAAAAAATGTTTATAACTGAATATACTTTTTTTTAATTTAAATGTCAGCACATCAAAATATCTACATTAAATTAGCTAGAAAAATATAAAGATTGATTGAGATTTATACAGGGGATGTTCCATGTTAGAGAAATATTTCTTTTGTTAAGAGACTATTTGCATTCATGAGAACTGAAAATTAAGAAGGAATAAGATTTGTTTCTATGCAGACTTGCTAATTAATGTTGGTTTAGCTCTCCTAAATGGTAGAATGTGTAAGTATTTAAAATGTTGATGCAGACAAAGTTTGAGACAAATTAGAGCCTGGTATTCATCCCTGTATATAGCTTCATAGTTCTCTGTCGTATTGTAATGTCATGTAGAATTCCTGGAGTCTCCAATGCTAAATTTTAAGTTTTATCAGAGGAAAGATAACAAAATCATTTTTCTGCAGAAAGGGAGATTTTACAAGAAGCACTTACTGACAAATAGCACCTGTATTATTTTTTTTCTTGAGCAGGTAAAGGAGGGAGGAACTTAAGGGCAACAAATTACTTTTAGAGGTGCCATTTAGAATAATCTTGGCCACTGAGCAGACTGCCTCACTTGATGCTTAAGAAGGCTAAAATTATGATAAGTAGGTGTGTTGTTGTTTTTCAGTATTTTTACAGTGAAATTTATAGAGCCACTGCAATTCCAGTTTGCAATAGTCTTTCCCTCAGAGAATGCATATTGTTGGATCTCATGCCTTTAACAAAAATTAGAGGGAAACTGAATCCTTAACACAACCTTCCTTTGTACAAGTTGATAAGTAGACACTGTGTTTGCATATGACCGTTTTTTTTTTTTTCCAAAACAATTATAACAGATGCCTTGATTCCTTTCTGTTGTAAAAATTCCTTTCTCTCATTGCACTGTTCTCGTTAGTGCAGGTTCTTTCTGGCTAAGCAACACACAGAAAAATCTTTGCTGTTTTCTTTTTCAAACAATATTTTCTCACACAATAAAACAGAAGAAGGCCACACATTTTTCTTTCCTCCTGTAGTACAGTGTATTTAAAGGGGAGGAATATAAAAATCAGATGGCATCCTAATGAAGGCCAAGAAATCTAGCTACACAATCTGAATTCTTCTCGGGGCAGAGCCTCTTTAGAACAGCTCCCTGTGAGAAGCACACAAAGCTGATTGCAATGTTTTCAAGTTCAGAATATATCTGCACAAAATAAAGGAAATAAAAAATGGTATTCAGCAAACCAGGAAGATAGAATATGTGGAAATCAGGTAGTGGCATCATACAGGGCAGTATTGCTGCTTCCTGCTGTGGACATTTTGAATGAAGCATGCTCACGTAGTGGAATGAGACTCTAGATTCCCCTTTAAATATTTGCAATATTTTAATTCTGATTTGCAATAAATAATATGACTAATATACACTCCTTCTCATGGCTTTATGATTATCACTTGCACTGCACATCTTGGCTGCTCTTAACACTTACAAGGCCCTGATATATAGCTAAACATTTCTGACTCCATCTGGTACAAAGAGAAGTGACACAGAAGTGCTCCCCAGCCAGTTTATTGCAATTTAATGTAAATCTGTTATAATGGAGCTGATGAAAAGTGCAGTAGCTTCCATGAATTCTGAAAGCTGTGATTGGGTTGCAGCTGCTGCGCTGCCCTCGGAAGATTTGGTGGGTTTAATTTTACATTGCACAGCCATTAGCTGACTAAGATACCTCACTGAATCACATTGCCACAATACTTTTCTTCTTCATGCTCTTCCCTTTCTCCTCACAGTGACCTCATTCACCCAAGTTTTCCATCTCAGTCTTCCGTTGTTTTTATCTTATAAATTGCAGCCTCCTAATACATCAAAACAGATAGAGCCATGCAATTGACCCCTATAACGTACTATTTTGTTAACTCTTGTGTGTGGGAATACAGTAATATCCCTTCAAATTTGCTGTGTGCTCTTTGTGATTCTCGCTGTTTTCTATGTCCAGAAACTGAACCAAAGCACGGTAGCAGTGCCTCCAGGCCTTGCGCATGGGCACGTGGGACTTGCGTTCAGTAAAATTTGTCTACGTCTTTCCCAGTATGTTTGCTGTGTAAATATCATTGTTTCTTCTGCTCAAGATTTTGAATTTTAGTTTCTGCAGACTGTCAAATGAACCTCCAGGCAAAGAACAGATTCATCGTATATGGTTGCAATCAGAGCTCGCCTTTCACCCCTCTATCGCCACGTGTGCGATCTTATTGCCATCATGTACAAAAGCTGTCTTAAATGTGTACTCTGCTGGTTCCTGTTAGTTGGTGATATTTGTAGACAGGAATTGGGGTGATCAGGTTCTGCCATCCAGCATTAAGTGTTACTATATACTTATGTAGGCCCTTAGGCAAA